TTTTTTTTTTTTTTTTTTTTTTTTTTTGTACCAGGGATCAAACTCAGGTCCTTGTGCTTGTGAGGCAGGCGGTGGAACCCCTGAGCTAAATCCCCGGCCTTGGGTGTTTTTCCAATTACCTATACTTTCCACGTTTTAAAAATACACATTTTATTAAAATAGTTACTAAGATATTTATTAATTTGAAAGTGAGTCAAGAACTTCTCATGTTTGGAAATTATACTCTACTGTTATTTCTTCTCAGTTATAATCTTACTTTTCTGAACAGAAACTCTTCACTCCTCCCAAAGGCCAGGGCAGGAAGCAGGTATTGCAGCCATGTTCGCCACCCACCTGACAGCTGACAACCTGGCCACTGGAGCAGGCTGTCAAAATCAGGCCTGCGACAGGGAAGTTCCAGACAGAATCCCGGCTACCTCCACCGCCTAGGGCTTTCTGGACAGCGCTACTGGAGATCATTTACTCCCCTACCCACCCACCCTTTCTAAATAGCCAGCCGAATGCTCTTTTTCCAGTTCTGGCTGAATTGTCAGCTTCAGCGGGTGGGGAGCTTGCCAGGTACCTGGCTCAGTGAGCACCGCCCAAACTGGTCAGGCTAGTCCGCCCTGTGGCTGTTTCTGCCTGGACTTGCCCGTGAGTGTGTTAGAGACCCACCCTTCTCCACAGCAACCCAGGTAGGTGGGAAGGCAGCTCTGGGAACTATCCTGGCAGTCAGGCCAGATGGGTGGAGCTGAATTAATCTAACCTGAAATTTCAACTTGGCCGGCACAACAGGTGAGGGAGAAAAGCAGCAGAGAATGGGTAGTTTGGCCACCTAAAATATTCTTGCATCTCGTCCCCTACGCCCTGCCTGGAACATAGCCCAGGATGACTTTTCGGGCCATGGACCCTAGGAGACTGTCCGAGCCCCTTCTGAACGCTGTCCTCCTCGGTTACCCTCTGCGACGCGCCCGCCCCCCGCTCCTCTGGGAGGCAGGGCGGGGGTATCGGATTAGTCTTTGTTTTCGACGCGAAAGAGCCGAGCGCTTCGCGGGGGAGGTTTGCGATGGCAGGGCCTTGGGGTACGCCTGGGTAGGGCGCTCGGCTGTGACTCCCGCGAGGGTGCTCCGCAGTCGGCCCGAGGCCTCTGCCTCCAGGCACCCCATTCTTGCCGTCCAGGCTGACTCGGTACGCAAACGCGCGACGTCCCTCATTGTCCTGCCCTGGAATGAGTGAGCGGCAGGCGGGGGAAAAGGGGTCAGTCGGGCCCCGAGCTCAGGGTTCCTAGGGGCGCTGGGGCTGTCCCGGACCTCTTGGGCCCGCAGAGTGGCAGGAAGTGGGGACACCAAGGCGGGCTCGGCCGAGGGCCTAGGTTAGAAGGTCCACGAGCCCCGC